CCATGCTAGTTGTGTTTGTGTTCAGCATACAATAATACCATGGCTGGTATTATTTAAATAGAATCGATTCTAACACTTAATGATTTGGGCAGCCTTTTGATTCTGATTAAATCTGTAATCTGATTTGCATGCGAAAAATATAAAAATGGCGCTTTGCCATGCTCAGCGCCGAGAAAAAGGTACGGCTCAGAAAGGGAAGTTTACTCAATTTCTTGGCTTTTGGAGTGGATTGGATTGAATAAGACTAAATCTAGATAATATAAGTTTTTTTATAAATTTTATTTTACGAAATTATGAATTTATTAATTTTCCGATGTTCTAATTTTTGTTCGCACCAGTTAAACGCTCGAAAGAATTCCCAAATCAATAACTAAAAATTCTATTCTCTCGGTCCTTTTTCTTATCCATTCTTTTATCAACATTTTCGTATAGTCGGGAGAACCCCATAATCTCATCGAGCTCGGCTTGGCATTTCGTGCATAGCTGTTTGGTTGATCGTTCTCAGCCCGATTCTTAGTCACACACCTCGGCCGCGTGAATGTCGACAACGGTGTAACGTAAAATCTAAGCCGATCTTGGCAAGAATACAATTCACGCAAACAATGTGGTGTTTCTTTTGAAATTGTCTTGGAAAGTTGGTAGTCAAAGGGATAGCGCGGAATTTTTTTGTAGTTTGCAGGAAAGCATTTTCAACTGAGTCCCTCTTAAACTTCAAGCCTGTTTAGTAAGCTTTCTACTTCTTGTAAAATGTCGAATTTTTGCAGGTTAAGCGCAAAATCATTTATTTTCTTTATGTTCCTGCGCTGATCTGCGACTTGGTGTGCATTCATAAGAAAATGGATGTTTGGATACACGAACCAGAAGGGCCTTGCTTATACTTCCGAAAATCGGATTCCGGAAAAATCCGTGAAAAAATGGAGATTGAATAAGAACCGGTAGGTTACTCCAGTGATCCTCCGCTTTGCGGTTCTATTTTGAACTTATATACCAAATAAAATACCAAAAGATTTTATCAGGACCTCGAAAAACATTTTACTGTCGCTATTCACCTACCTAAGCTCATCCCTTTCAACCGCCCACCCGCCCATACTTGCCAGTATCCTATTTAGCAAGCAAGACCTTGAGTTTAGACGTCCCAACCGAAGACAAAACTTCCTTCGCCGGATGCCACAATAGCCTCTGCCGTAGATTTATGGGACGGTCGGTGCTCGGTCTAGCCTTCCCCTTTCCTTTAGAAGGAAACCGGGAACCGCCATAAAACGATTCAGTCTCTCCCGTGTCCGCCATCCCTTTCCCCCTTTCTTCTCTCCTTTATACTCCTGTTTATTACGGTAATTGAAGTGACTTTCTAATGGGGAGATGGCAGCTGGTTTGCCGTAAAGTGGGCAGTTGAAGTAAAGGGGGTTCTTTGTTAGGAGTTGACTTTTAAGGTGATGATTTTTGGTGGCTAGCGAGTTTCGTCGTTTTGAGCAAGAATCTGACTACAAAACCAGTTTATGTATTTGTGGCAATTTTGCATCCAAAGGTATTCGACGACGAAAATAATAATCAAATTTTTCGGAAATGACATTTTATGTCCCTATATCCTATCCTATCCCTTAACGGTTTAAAAGTTATGTAAAAAGCTACACATTTGCATACTGCAAGTAACAAGGATTACCTTCCGTTTATTTCAGTTTGTTTAGAATTTTATCTTTGATTTGCTTTTTAAGGTAATTCTTGATGATTTGAATTGTGAATTCGTGTTTTTCGCTGATACAAATTAAGTTGTGCAAAGTGACTGCCCCAAAGGCGTAGTAGATTTTCACAACTATTAAAAACCACATTGAAATCATAAGTGGTAAGATGGGTTATGACCCCATCAAAAATTGCCTTTTTTGTTTTGCATAACGTAAATTTAAATCTACGGACTTCTGAATAGGAAAATTCCTCTTAAATCCCTACATATCTAGGTAGTTCCGATCGCCTCGTTTTTTTTGCCTTCCCTTCTCGATGGTCACCATAGATGGGGGTCCGTTCCTTTCTCTCTCTCTCTGTGTGTGATTTGTTTGAATGCCCCTTCGGGGGCCGAGCAGCCGATCGCCAAAAAGGGGGCACACTTCCAAAGGGGCGAACCACACCCCTACCATTCCTCCTCCTTGGCTGACTAATATATTCACTCTCCTTCTTCCCTCTCTTGTCCACCTCCCTATCCCCCCTTTTCCCTTCTAACTACCGTAGATCCACCACGGGTCCACACCCCAGGAAGGTCATCTATCAGGCGCGTGGCTGGCTGTGGCCACGGCTCAGTTTTCCACCCGGTTTTTGCGGTGTTTTCCATGCCAGCTGTGTGGGGAAATGAACCGTGGGTAATTTTTTGATCCCCGGCATTCCACCATAACTATTCAGGGAATTTCTAGCATTTTTATGGATGACGACTTTAAGTTTTATTAAGTTTAAAACAATATAGCAATTTTTCCCCGATCAATTCCATTAGCCTTGGGATTCTGATGAAATATGCAAATTATTTTGGGGTAATGACTTTCGGAGTAGTCCTTCAGGGTAGTGTTTGGATGCCTTTAGCTTAGCTCTCGAATGCCAACGATTTTATGGGACAGATCTACTTGCTCACCTCCCGGGTAAAATTGAGTCCAAGCGGGTGGTCTACCGGGTAGAACTGGTTGCATTGTTTGGCGGAATTACCTGTTGAACGAGTGTCACTCGCTAGCAGCGGTTCTGGTTGCTGAAGGTTATGACAGTTCTAGCATCATTTTTTGTTCTTGGGGAACCGGTGGCCTGCAATTGGATAGGCAAATTGCAATCCCTTTCTTCTTAGCTAATTTAGCTAATTTTTTTACAATGGAAAATTAACCACATACACCCAAATGCTATATTCCACAATGCTCCACCTTGTCAATGCGATGCCACCCGCAATTTTCCCCTCGTTAACGGCTGATAGGCTTGTTTTGATAAGCTGGCATGGGCAAGCTGGAGAGGCAATGCGCCTAAAGGAATACGGCCTTGAGGGGTGCGGTGATACGCAGTCCCGACCCCTCCCCAACACCACCTCCTGATTATCAACCCATCGATAGACCCACCATCTCGTTTCCTTCACCAACACGACCATCGTCGCCTCCTCCCCCCGTCCTCCTCATTTTTCCAGCCTCCCACTGTCTTGGAATCAACGCACAACCTCTGTCCCTTCCCCCAACCCCCCTATTTCCGCCCTTTTTCATCGCCTCTTATTGGTCTTGCAGCGAGCCGGCTGGCTGGTTTATCTTAGCCAACCAAGCTGATTAATCCAATCTTTGTGGTTGGCTTTTTATTAGGTGTATTAGGAGCCTGCACAGAAATGACTCATTTTTCGGGATAATGAATTACTCGTCGCGGGGGTGGGTTCTCGAACTGATAAGGGCAGGTTCGAAATCGGTTATGACTCTTTTTGTGCGGATTTCGTTAACGATTATCGAAACAATATTACGATCCCCGTTGAAACGCCCCAACCCAATCAAAAACCAATTTTGCATATCGCTTTCAGGTGAACGCAACTTCATGCGGTGGGATGGGAGAAGAGAGCGCTAGCTTCTGTGTTTGCTGATTAGTGCCCCGGGACCCGATGTCAGCCGTCAGCCCATCGTGCACAATATTGTATGGGGGGTTTGAGGGGGTTGTTTCGGTGTGTAGACAATACCCATCCCATCACAGTCACCCGAGAACCAATTGCCACTCGGCCAAACAGCTTCTAGCAGCATCTTCCCGGCGCATCGCTGCACGAAATGTCCGGTTTTTGCTGGCATGTCCATCAACCATTATTTTTGTATTAGTTTTTTTGCAGCTACGGCTTTGTATCTCCAGATTTTAGCTTTTCTCCAGCCATCATGTCTTTCCATTTTGTCATTTCTCATTAGCACAGAAATCTCTAATAACATAGTACTAGGTGTGAGTTAGTAATAAATCTAGCTATTTTTTTGAATGCCAAAATTATCTAAAAACTTCGAAAATTTGAAATTTGAAATTTGGGTCCCAGAACCACGTTTTGTGCATTTTAGACAAAAATTGTCATGTTTTTTGCATTCTAATATGGTAAACATTTTAGAAACACGTCTTCTATTGATATTAAAAAAATCGACCCTAAGCATGCATATCTATTTTGGGCTAACAACCTTGACCCCTCTGCAAAACAGCTATAAAAATTTTTAAGACGGCACAATCTTACCTGCCTGGTTTTACTACCCGCTGACTTATCACAATATATTTGTGGGTGTGCCAAACGTCAGTTTTCTCACTATATTATAGTTACAAATGGTATTTTTTCACGTAATAGTTACCATAGAGCATAGAGTCGCTTCTGAAAATTTTCCGCTTCCTCATTTCGCTTTCTGCGCAAATATTTCTTTCTTGGACGGATATCCGGGACTCCCATTGTGTGCGAATAACCTTTCGGTTCCGTTCCTTCTTCAAAAAATATTGTTTTTCCCCCTCACAAACTCTTCGAGCGACTCCCAGCCAGGCAAAACAACTTTTTTGAACACCGTCGCAAGAGAGCCCTTAATTTTCGCTATGGAGAGCCGATTTTTTTTTGCGAACGTTGCTCAATCATCGGCTACTTTCGTGACCCCGCGGGCCGAAAGTCCACTGCTTAGCCGCGGTGCAGAACTCGGCCGCCTGTCGGGCCCTCAAACCACCCGCCGGGGGAAATTCTTGGGTAGTTGAGAAAACGAGAGGTCAACGGAAAGATCGCACCGGCTGTTCGATTACTCAACAACTCACCCATAAATTTTCACCTAAATGTGTCGTTAGACTCTAAAGAAATGCCGGCTCAGAAGCCAGCTTTTTTGATGGTTTAGCTCCCATCCACACTTTGAACTTGCAATCCTGCCGGTCAACCCCACCGAAATCGCCGCCTCATGGGTGCGGGGGAAGCAATTTCCGACTTACTGTCGCTTCCCTGACTCTGTGATTTTTGTTCTACTCTTATATCGTTTTTTGGGGCACTCTTACGAACTCCTTTTTCCAGTGCCATGACGGCCGGCAGCGCCACGCAGCCGGGATTCAATCGGGTATTAGACAATTTGGCAAAGCGCCAGCTGCTACTGGATTTCCAGTTTGGTACCGCAAGGGAAAGGTATGTGCAAAACAAAATGACGGTATATTGTCTTGCAGATACGAGGCTATTCGTAATATCGGGGCTGGAGCTTTTGGAATTGTCTGCGAGGCGGTGGAGACCACTTCTGACACAAAGGTCCGTTCCTTGTCAAGACGAATCCCGGAAAAAGATCGGTTTCTCCCAAAACACTTAAAAGGCACGCTTTCCCCTGGTCAAACACCTTACGTAGCAAGAGCAAACAGGCCGGAAAGAAGGAATATCGTAAAAGCCATTAGAAAGGGCGGGGCGGCTGTAGGCTAGCTCGATTCGGAAAGTGCAAATGGGGAATAGAGAGCTGAATTTGGTCTAGGTCCAGGCGATGAGCAAAAGTTTATTTAGGTGGCGATCAAAAAGATCGGCCATGCATCAGCTACGCCGACGCTTGCAAGAAGGACGATGCGTGAAATCCGTGTATTGCGTTATATTCGACATGATAACATTGTTAGCTTGAAAGATATTTTCCGGACCCCTGGAAATTTAGGTAAGACTAGAAAATCAGTGTGTAAGGAAAAGTTGGATACATTTCGTGCATCATTACAGTATCCGTTCTAGGAATCAACGTTTATTTGGTGATGGATTTGATGGAAGGTTCGCTACATCATGTGATACATGGCGATACACAACAATTGGAGGATGACCTTGTTGCTCATTTCCTTTTCCAGCTACTACGAGGACTCCGGGTTTGCCTTATCAATTTCTTAAGGATTTATTCATATTTGCAGTACCTCCATTCGGCCGGTATCGCCCATCGAGACCTAAAGCCATCAAATCTACTCGTCAATTCAAATTGCCATTTGCGAATCGCCGATTTTGGCATGGCGAAACTCGCGATGCGGCATGAAGTGGATGAATCCGAGGAGCACTGCTTCTATATGACCCAACATGTTGCTACTTTGCCTTACAGGTTAGTGAAATCAAATTTCTAAAATGCGTGGTTTTTAATTCAGAGCCCCTGAACTCCTCTACGTAATGCCAGAGCATTCCACAGCCGTCGATATGTGGGCCGTTGGCTGTATCTTCGGTGAAATGCTGCTGCGGCGAGAGCTTTTCCCTGGCCGAAGCGTCAGTGGACAAATCAAGATTATCTTGACGATGCTGGGCTCGCCTTCTGAAAGGGTAGGGGTTCAATTGGAAGTCAATAAACCCCGAATGAGATTTCAGCTTATGAATGAGATTCGCTGCGAAAGGACGAAACGGCTGATCGAAAGCACGGGTGAGCAGACGGGAAGGCCATGGAATGAGATCTGCTGCACCCGCGAAAGAGACGTGAGTTTCCACCAATAACCTCAAAAATGACCAATGTTCAGATTACACAACAAATTTTGGATTTATTATCCAAACTTTGCGTGGTTGATGCTGATGAGCGCCTGGACGTCGAAGAAGCTATTAGGCATCCGTTTATCGCCGAATACTTTCCGAATATCGTCGCTGAAAGGAGCTGTCCCTTCAAGGTAAGTCGGTTTACAGTAGATTCTCTATAATACAATTTTCAATTTTCTACATATTCATGACTATAACGTTTTTCTTATTTTTGATGTATATTTTAGGTAAAAATGGACATGGCTGCCGTCGAGCATCTTTCCCATACAGAGCTAGCCGAGGTTCTAATGAAAGATATTCGAAATGCAGAAGATACAGGTACTTTGCGTTCTCCTACCCTGAACATTTCCTTTTTTAGCTGAAACCCAAACCGTATTCAGCGGTGGATCTGATGGACAGAAAGATTCCAACGAATGTTCCTTGGAAGAATCCGAAGAATCTGACACCCCCGAACTTGAAAGAACTATTGTCGCTTAACCACTTTTATGTGAACATTGAAAAATATGACGTGTATACACCTGCCCTGTTCATATATCCGGTAGTTTGGCTATCCCCCCCGAACATTCCAGATTTTGCAGTTACTGCTCAATTTCCATCCCTTTTTACCCCCGATCCTATCCACCAATCGATTCATTCATATTAGTCAGCTCAGGTTCATAGACAGACCAATTCACTGGTTTCTTCCTCCCTACTTCTTCTATCACCCAAAATATCATCTCCCGCGCATAATCCCACCCCTCCTAAATTATAGTACGAATTGTTCCTGAAGCATAATTTTCCCGCTCGACGTCGACTGCCAAAGCAAAATGCATTTCAAATGACGTTCGATGAGATGTATGCCAAAATAAATACTATGAGATTTTTTTTAACCCACGCACTGGATACATATAAGCAAACAGCATTGCTAAAGTTAGGAAAAAAAAACAATTTTCCAAAAAGCAAGCGATAACTAACTACGTTCTCTACAAAAACAATCGAGAAAATGCACCCTCACCTTCCTTACTTTTGTAACCGGTCCCACTGAAAAAAACCTCTAGTATTACACAATCAAATGAGGCGCATTGGAAAGTTACATTTTTGTGAAAGCCGGAAGTTAAAGTTTTGATTCCGTTTGGATTTCCATCGCATATCAATATCTTCCTGAAAACTTGCCACATTTATCACCATAACCTCAGTTTTCACAAAACAAAATAAAAAACAAGTACAGCTGTTGATCAAGAATTTTCTTTGATCAAAAAATTAGAAATACCTATCTACGGGGCTTTGAAAGATTTTTTCTAAATCAACACAATTCTACTTTCAAGCTCCTTGTATTCATTTCCCTGCGCTCCGCCTGCTTGATATTATGCACTACGTGTCGATCTTGCTCCGGCCTGCTAGAAATTCGGTAGCACTACAGTCTTTTTCTCTCTATAGTATTTTGTTGACTTTTTTTGTGTCAAAAAATAGTCTTGCGTTTGCAGACCTGTTCGACAACTCGATCGGTCCTTATAAACCCCTCATCATTCTCTAGCGGAATGATATCTTTGCTTTATAATTATATTTAGAAAAGAGTTAATCTTCTACGAAGAATCGTTGATAAGGAACTCCCTACAACTTATTTCATCTAACCATTTGATTTGAACTTGAGGTGACTTCTTCGGTTTTCTCCTTTATTATTTTCTCACGGCTTATTTTTTGCTATTTGATTCAGCCGATGCTCAGGCTCCGCGCGCTCCGCCCTGTAGAGCGGGTAAAGCGCGAGTGGCCGTTTCCGGTCATCAACGATGTTTATCCCGGGTGCTGCCTGCAGGCTCTGCCCATCAACTACCCAGTAAGAATTTTCTGGTATCTGGGCCTGCTTAGCCAAGGAAAACTGAGGGCTATTTTCTTTAAATCACTCGTGGAAGTGATAATGGTTAATAAAATCGATGATAAAATCTATATCATGGACGTTCCCAAACTCACCTGTGATAATATATGTGCTCTTTAATAAAATAATATTACTTCTTTGAAGAGCACAGTTACAGTCAAACAGAACGGCAACATTTGGTAAGAACACAAACGTAGGGTTGGGGAACGAATTTCTCGAATACACGTCGAGCGCTATCGCTATACGCCGCCAGGCAATTAACAAAGGTCGAACATTTCGGAAGTTTGTAATAAAGCACATAACTATTAGTATTTGAACCCTAAAATAACTATTTTAGGCTGGGAAGCAATTTTATAATGTATATAACCAAATATGGATTATTAAGACATAGTTTAACTTAGTGACTATTATTACTACAAAGTTTACTTATGGGATTTCACTGTCGGTCATTTGTTAATTGTCCCTTTCTGGCCGGATTGTCTTCGAAAACTAACTCACATAGTTTCCGTACCCTATTACACTATCATATTGCCAGCTGCGGTACGCCTCCGAACACGCGACGCCGCCTGAACCCATGAGCGTATCAAATGATCAGCGCGCCGAACAGCGCTTTTTTTTTTCTTTTGCACCGGCGCTGTCCTTTTACATAGCCTTTTTCGCATCAAATTTCAGAATTGAAAACGATTGGCGTGTTTGCTTGGTTTTTTCTTGATTAAACCGTAAAGTTATTTTTATTATATTTTGGTGGAACTGGTATCCTGCGTTTTCCTTTAAGATTTAGTTTTTATTATATTATTTTAGTTCGAGGATATGCGACGCTCAAGGGCCAATCATCCGGCAGAGTTCTTTCAACCTGTTTCGTACCGCATCTGGCTCCAAATCAGGCGGAAGGGTTCGTAACTTCCTTTTGCTAATAGTCTTTTTTTTTGCAGCCGCTTCTACGACCATATGCGCCAGCGAATGGGAGCGAAAAAGCATTTCATTGATGTGGAGCTCGATAAGTGCCGAAGATTTGTCCGGATCAGTGATCCGCAGAAGTTCAGGAGGGCTGATACAGAGTGAAATTTCTGTTTTGGGCGTTCCTTGGTATTTTATGGAATCTTTCAATGAATAGTTTTTAGGGGGACAACGCGTACTCGATGAGGCTGGGGTTCGATGAGAAACGTCCGCGTGGGCGGCCAAAGAACGTGAAAATTTCCCTGAATCGTCCAATTCGCGTCGGAAGTCTGTACTATTTGGATGACAAGCCACGCTTTGCCGATTCAGCTGAGCGCATGCTGAATTTCCACTCCCAGTTGATGTGGATGTTTAGACGGACGATTCTATCAAGAGCTACTCATTTGTCGAGAATGCTGGAGAATTCCGTCCTGGTTTTCGGGCACGTCACCATTACCCCTCTGGACCATCTTATAGGTGAGTTCGGCTTTCTTCTTATTGCTTTTGGATTAAAGCTGCTCTAAATAATACTTTAGTCAAATCGTCTCCGGTGGCTACGAATCACCGCATCTTGAATATGATGAGGCTCAGCTTGAATCAGATATGTAAATACTTCACGCATGACAACCAGGAAATTGACATCTATGGAGCGCCGATGGATGATTACGGACAAGATTGTGAGTTACTTGGTTACTTTTTTATGTGGTTATACACATTTGGATTCTTCGCGGAGCTTGTTTGTAGCTGAAATTAAATTAATATTTTCGTACTTTCAGTGGCCACGCATTCCGGCGTGGATTATGGTACTGAATACATCACTGGGGATGCTGTTAACCATCTGCCCGTTGTGGAAGATGTCGAGGTGAAAAGACGCTGCCCTTCGAGCCAACAAAGCCGCAACCGATCGGTTTGCCGCGTGTGAGAGTCGTCAAAATGGCCGGATACACCAAGTCAACGTTGCAATCGGTGAAGGATGGTGATGTCAGAGGTCGAATTTTTAAAATTTTCCTTGAAACACGTTGAAGCTCGTTTTATAGCACATTGAATTTTTGGAACTGTACTACGTCAATGGTTCCGGCAAGACGACGTTTGTTCGCGTTGGGGCCCCTCCCTTAAGCCAAAACCCAATGACTCAACATGCCGAGGAGCCGCCGGTGGTGTTAGTAAGGCTTCATCAGGCGTTCATAATATGACTTTTTTAGCTGACAAAGGCGGGATATGCAAAGCCACCTCGTCGAACGATCCGGATTCTGAAAAGGCTGCTGAACAAACAGTCCGTTACCGTATTGATTTACTGGGAGATCTTCAAATGTATCTAGTCAAATTTGAGTCTTCCTCCAAGCCGGCTTTATTTTTGTCACTTTTCTATGTTGTATGCTTTCATGTCGTCTACTTCTGATTGTGAGTGTTTGATATCGGGCCTGGAGGAATAAGTTCCCTGACCCGTATCCATTTCCGATTGACGCTTTTGTAACAGAATTAAACGCAATGAAATCAAGTCAACTAGGGGAGTACAAAATGGCTTCCAAAATCACTTTACCCAACTAAAATTTCTCCGAATTTCCTCCCCACCTTTTAGCTGTCTCGCCGGCTTAGGCCTTTTTTGCATTCTGTTGGCAATTTTGTTTTTACTGGCTGACTGATTTCTGTAAGATTGACCGCACTTAACCACCCCCTTCGTTGTTGTTTGTGTTTGTATGAATAAACTAGCCTGGAAAACACTGCAAAGACATCCGCAGAAAGTGCATAACCGTTTCGGCAGCGATAGAAGTGGAAATACCAGGAGACACTAATGTTTTTAACAATACTAGGGTACGCAATAGTTATCACGCTGCTAGTTGTTGGGTTCCCTGGGCCAAAATTATTCTCCGGTCTGAGAATCAACTGCATCCAAGCCTAAACAATATTTTGGAAGCTTCATGATCATCTCGCGGAAGCGGCAACAAGAAGTTGCAGAACCTTCCGTCGGCTTTCTCTCTCAATAGCCTTCCATAATTGCCCCCTACTAAAACCACGTTCTATATTTGCTCCCGCCAAAGGGCGTTCACGGAATTTCGCTTCTTGCGCGTTTGGGGGATCTGTTTTCCGCCTCCCCCCCTTTTCTCCGGCCCCCCCAAACTGGGCGCATGCTGGGTTCTTTATTTGCTGGAGTCGCGGCTAATCTCATTTTGTAGTATTGGTCAATTTGGGGGAAGGGATTATGCCCGGGGCCAGATACCTAAAAAGAAACTATCCGCCTAGTTCCGTCCCCACACGCCCGTCCCTCCCAGTCACTTCTCCCCCTCTTCCCTTTCAGGATATACAAAGGGGGGGGGAAAAAAATAGGCGTTTTCGTTAGAAGTTAGTCCGAGTACAATTCTTGTGAATCATACAGTGGTTAAAGAACGAATTTTTCAATTTCTATCTCACTAATCCCATAAATTCCTGAGCATTTTCTTAGTTACAAAAACATTGGAACGATGTACAAGCAACAAAACAGAAACAAAGCCTCCTCAACTGCGCGAAACACGGCGATTGATTTGGGGGAAACACCCAGATTGGGATAGGAAAAGCTGTGAGAGTACCAGCTGAGTATACTCTGTTGCCAGTATCCAAGTTTTCCCATGCTCACCTCTTTCCAAAAAGGCTGGGGCGCCGAAAATGCGTCAAAATCGCAATCACTGGATACTGGCCGAGTCGACCTTGACGGAAAGAGGGGAAAAGAAGGGGGGTCTGAAGAGAAATTGGTTTCTTCTATTTTTCTGGTATCCCAGGGCTCGACAATAGAGATGGCATTGTGATCAGGGATGTCTCCCACGGATCGCCTTCGGGCGGGCATTGTGCCTGCCAATGGCCAGCCAGACATATGAGACTCTGAGCCCGAGACGCCCTTCATATCAAACGCTTCGGTGCTTCATCTTTACGTTTGTCCACTACGATCTTACGCCATACTTTTTTACGAGGACTATCGTTTTCTGCAGATTTTATAAAGTTGATTTGCTCCAACAGGCCGGTGTCTTTATCACCGAAGTCTCACCGTAGCCCTTCCAAAGCGAATAATCTTTATTTTCACCCAAATTATGACCAATTTCCTAGCCCATTTTTTTTTTTCTATTGATACAAAATCAGCACAAAGGTGTTCCTCATAACTTTTCATATCCATTACTTTCATTGCTCCCCCAAAATCTTATTCACTACTTCTCTTCCCATTTGCCGACCCGGGTGTCATTTCTGTCATCAATTATTTTTGCCGCTTCTCTTGCACGGTTCCGCTTCTGAAGCAAAAATGCCTCGTTTGCCGTTGGTGGTGGTCTGCATTTTTGGCCCGGCTTACTCTCCGCTTTCTTTTAATGCCTTGGATGACGATTTGAATGATAAAGATTACAAAAGCTATGAGGGGTAAGCGCAATTTTCCTTTCTTTTAACACTTTTGATTTTAGATATCAAGCTCCTTACATTTCTCCCTCAATCAAAAAGGGAATCCCGACGTGATAAATAGCCTTGAGACGGTTCTAAAATCAAGAGGTAAATATCAGTTTTTTTCTCTATGGGGGGGAGGGTCTTTGTCAAAGGGTCAGGCTATGAATGGCCTTGATCCTGTTCTGAGGCATTGGTTGTTGCCAGGAGTTATTTTTCATGACACGTGGGGTTCTGATGGGGATTATCGTGATAGAGAGAAATCACGGAATTCGATGAACGAAAACAGCCAACCTTTTCAGCTAGACTTCTTCCGGACATGCAGCAGTTCCGGGGAGGCGATCGGACGTTATCCTGCCCCCGGATCTTATATGGGATGCGAAGGAATATTTATTGCAGAATAATGTTGGATTATAATGTTAGCAGTGAGTTAGTTTTAGGTTTAGGATATGTATCAAATCCAGTACCCAATCTACGAATTCCGATTGAACGACAACGACGAGCACTGAGAGCTCCCGCATCTGCTGCAAGACCACCAACTTTTTAACACATTCATCCTGAATACCTACCACACTTACAGCGAGGTACCCCCTCTCTCTCTCTCTCTCTCTCTCTCTCTCTCTCTCTCTCTCTCTCTCTCTCTCTCAAACCAATTTTCCTCTTTTAGCAAATGCAATTCTGTCTATGGTCGCTATTTCTAACCCGTCCTCTGGTTCGTTTATTCACGATTAAGCGCTCATTCCAGAACCGGAATGTTCTCCGAGTCACGGTAGAGAGTGCAGCTTTTCTAAAACGTCCCCACATCATTTTTTCAGCTTGGGACCAAACGGGCCGAATAAGCCGATTCTTTTTGTGGATGGCGGTATCCATGCCCGGGAGTGGATTTCACCCGCGGTCGCCCTGTTCTTCATTCGAGAGGAGTATCGCCGAAAGAAATTTTGTGCTTTCAGCGCAGGTGGTATTGTTATAGTTTCTGAAGCCGCAGTATCGAACGTTGTTGAACTCCGATTGACATCATGGATTGTACTCGAACGTGAACCCGGATGGGTACGAGTGGTCGAGGACGAGGGATAGGTTGCGGAGGGAAGACCAGGCAAGGGGATAATTTCTAAATTGAATTTTTCACATTCATAGATGGTTACTAATGCGTTAGCGGGGAGGAGGCTTTTACCAGGAGGCAAACTAACTTTCTTTATGCACACGGCGTCTACTTTAATAAAACAGTATTTTAAAGTGTGTTTTTTGTAGGTTTCCGTTTCCGAAAAGTTCTAAAAACATTAAAAAATTAGGAATTTTGGATGTTTTTCGCCATTTACATACATTTGTTCCTGGAGGTCAACGTCTCCCAAAACTCTCAACAATTTAAAGAAATGTTGATATCCCAAAGGTGTCAGATTTTATCCAACTGTTGATATTGGTTGCTTGTCTACGGATAACAGAAAAATTAATTTCCTGGTTATCACCCCCGCCCGCCGCTAGACCAGAAATAAAACAAAAATTATTACCACTTCTAGTTCTGTTCCCTATTTTGCCGGAAAAACAAAGCAATAACCTGCCCAGGCAGACATTTTCTGCGTTTGACCATTGGTTCACGGGTCTTTTCCAAACAATTTACGGACTAAAGGTTGCACTCCCCGCGCCAGTTCGTACCATTCCCCGAGGATAATTTCAAACAATCGCCAACTGATAAGTGTAACCGTCATTACTCCAAACCAGACTCAAGTACCCCATTTGCCCACTCTACTTCCTTATTATGACAATTCCTTTGACTAAACCCTCATAAAGACAAACTCACAACAACAGAACACCCCCCAAATTTAATGTACTCTGATATTTTCCTAAAAATAACAGCATTGAATAAATATAATATTTACGATGACCCACTCTTATTTCCAGATCCGGCCCGTCCCGCGGATGTTTTGGCACTGACCTGAACCGGAATTTCCCCTTCCGCTACGCCTTCCTCGGGTCGGAGTGCAAACCCATGCAGGTCTTCCTCAAAACCCGGAAATAATATGCTCGGGAATTTACAGTGAAATCTTCCATGGTCGTGGCGCTATGTCTGAGATTGAGGGTCGCAATTTGCGCAATGTGTTGCTGGCCCGTCGAGCGAATATCAAGGTATTCCCTGGGGTTTTGCGCGTAATTCGAGGTAGGAAGCCCCCTCCCCAAACCCACATAAATCCGTTGAATAGAACTAGGCGGAAGCCTGGGCGCTTTTCAAAACATTCTGCTCCAGGGATATAGGAAATTACGTAGGGAGGAGACGCTAGGTAGATGAGGTGGGCGTTTAGTTGTATTTTCTGACGGCATATCACTTTACCGGGTTTCCTGAATATAAATGCATCACATCGTCTGGCCAATCCGAAAATAGAGGAATAGGAAGGAAGGTGAAGAGTTCAGCACCCATTTTAGGGCTACGTCACGCTACACTCTTACGGTGAGAATCTGCTCTATCCATGGGGCTACAACGTACGGACTTATCCATCGGATGTGACGGATTTGGTATGGATTTTGTTTATTACAAAATTTATAGAAAGCTATTAGAAATGTACACAGCAAAATAAATAGCAAGCATGGGCTTAATATTTATGAAAATCCAACTTGCCGCCGACCACATTAATTTTTTCTAATCTCCATCTGAAAAGTTGCAGTGCATCAAAAACTGCCGTCATCTAATCCCCAAAATCCACCCAATTTTCCGGTCGACCAACTCTCAATGACACCCCCATCAAGGATTAGCGCTCTATAGAAAAAGCTCTCAATCAATTACTGTCGTGCTGTAGTCGCTCCAAAAAAATAGATTTCTTTGCAGTTCTCCAGCCTGGTTAATTTACCTATAAATATTCTAGATAAACATGGGACGAGCGATGAGTCAGGCGATCCAGCGGGTACACGGTACCCGATATGCAGTCGCCAACGCCGCCGACTTGCTCTGTAATTAGTTTTGGACGATTTTTTTGAGCCCCACCATGTTCCAGATCCAGCTGCCGGGGCGTCAGATGACTATGCTAAAAGCATTGGCATTAAATATGTATATACGGTTGAGCTGAGGCCGGGAGAGAATGATCGGGAGAATGATGAAAAGTGCGTAATTTTTTAGCGTATAGCTTTGATGTAAATTAACGACTGAACTTGAAAGTAGCATATGCAAGAGGGTTTTCTTCAGGATGGTAGAAAAATTGAGAGAGAAGCGTTTTGTAAAGGCTCTTCGACGAAAAAAGCCTGGATTTTCCGCGCGGCATACCTTATATCAATTAAACCTAGGTCCCTCAAATCTGCAATATTCCGCTCTAATGTCCCAATTACGCTCCCAGCTTTTTGCAACGTTCTATTTTTTTGCAGCAACCCACGAAAAATTCCACCTGGTGCCCAATTAACATCAGATTGCCCGAATTATTCTTAGCCACGCAGGTTGTAGTACGACCCCCGTGCCTGGAGACTCCCAGACCAAATAAAATGAAATGAAAAAGTTATTTAATTGAGAAAAATAATATTTCCCCACACATTTCCGGTTAGCCCCTGTACATTGCGGAGGCGGTGAATGGAGAGCGCTAATTCCGTTAGTGCCAGCAAAAAGTGGCGCAAAAATTAAGGGATAATTTGGTGTGCCATTTCGGGTGTTGCAACGTGAATCGTGTGGGGCTAGATTAATAGGCTTACCGGAGCCCGTGGTCAGTGCCGTTGGAATGCAATTCTACACCCACGGGGGGAAGCCGCGGCCCTAGGATTAATTCGGAACTTTTCGGCAATGGTTGCCTTTAAAAGATATCGTTGGCAGGTACGGCTTCGAACTTCCTGCGGCTTACATTCAACGCACCGGTGATGAGGTGTTTCAAGGTGTTCTCGTGCTGGCCAGAAGGGTTGCCGGGTAGGTACCTACAAGTTCTGCAATGATACGATAAGAATAAGTGAGGGATGGTTGGAAAGAATGAAACTGGGTTTGATGCTGAGGTTTCAGGCCAGGATTATGGTTGGATTAAGTAGCTCAGTATGAAACCTCGGAAAAGGTTTTTAAAAGCTGATCAAGCCGAAAAACCGCTTCGCGGCTGCACACTTGCCTGGGGGCTCTCAACTCCATCTAATTGCTCGATTTGTAAGTAAAAACTTAATTTTAATAGCGAAAAGGTAAAAACCTATTCTCCAACTAAATTAATGGATTATTTGTCCAAATCAATTGCCTAAGGCTCTATATGCGAAATAACATCAAAGAAGACCTTTTATGAATAGTACAATATCACCCCCTCGAAATAATATCTCTACTCGCCGTAAAATTTTTACGTTTGATCCCTTAGTTTTGCCATGAATTAACCATGATCTGGTGCTCATGTTTGATACCTAATTACCCCCTTTGAACTCCCAATTATCGGCCTCACCGCCCAGGGTCTCCGGGACACCTGCATTTAGTAGCACACTGTATTTCACAGCTAAAGCAAGATCCCCGACGAACTTTGGACCAGATTGTGTATTAAAAAAAAATCAGAATCCAATACCTTACCAACCACACCCGTAAAACATTGCTAAAAATAAAGTAGTCCTAACAAGTACGATTCCCCTATAGCCTCCAGAAATACTTAAAAAAGCCTCATATCAGATTCCTTTCACACATTGCCCACACCAGCCAGTTATTCTCGGCCGCACTAATTTACGCTGACGAGCCCACTAAACATTTTTCCATTTTTTGTTCACCCGACCGCTAGTAGATACACGCGAGGATGGAAAATGCTGCGTAGGGGGAAAGAGATCAAGATGGAGTGCAGAAAAAGGGAGAGAAGCCGTGGAACGGCATCATGCTCATCCCATTTAGGGGCACACACCGACATGCAGACACGTTTTGACCTTTTACACAATTCCACCCCTCAGAAGGCAAAATGCCCCGCGGCGAAGCCGTGTCTTTTCATCTCTCCCCCTCTGACGATGCAAATATAAGGATGCTAAATAATTCAGGGCCCCGGCCACTGACCTCAAAATACCTTTTCAGATGGAGCCTCCTCCCACAGCGTGGCCGCCGCTGAAACTAATCCCAGACTTGCGGGAGCGCTCTCTCGTCAGACTCATCTTTTACCCCTCTTAGAGTTGATTACTGTATCCCCAGTTTGCCCACAATTGAATTTTTCTGTACATCAAAGAACTCTGCGCCAATCCGGGTATTGCCGTTCGCAAGATAATGTTAATAAAAAGTTTCATTTGGGAGCTAAGCCCCCTCTCCGCCATGATGACTGTAACAGGTCTACCATACCCACGGAATCAGCAAGTGCACATTATAGTATACAGTACCGCCAAGGTCGTGGGCGCAAATAAATTGTTGCAAAAATCGCTTGTCTAGCATGTCCATTAGCAGCGACGCCTCGACGCTTTTCCTCTAATCCGCTGTTTGGCCGGATATCAATCAGCGCCTGAAAATAAGACATGCCCGAAATCAGGTTTTTACAAGTTTTGCCTTGTGCCATGACGCCACTCGTTGACGTACTCATAGATGCCCTTATTCCTCACGATGTCGAATTATCATCAACCTGCATTTCCGATCTATATAATGAGAATCCGGGAGTTCTAGATTTACATCTGAGACCTTCTTCCCTTCCATTATCCTCGACAACATTCGCTCAAGATTACGTTTTTTCCGAGACCTCTAGAAGCTTCACAATCATTTACAAACCAGCGAGTTGGATGGAGAATTATGCCAAAAGCCAAACGTGGTTCCAAGCTTAAGTTTTGGAATTCGGACTTCGTATTTAATAATTTCTGTTATTTTGAACTTGGCCAAGAGTGCTACGAATAGTTCGTAATTATAACATGTAATTTACGTTTGTTATCAATTCACTTAATAAACTACTCATTTGATAAAACCTCCTTTTGCCCTATATTTTATTTTTGTACGATTCTTGTTTTCATTATCTTATTTGTGCTTGCGACAGATTTTCGAAAAAATTAATTTAATTAGCTATGCCACAAGGAAGCCATAAATTCTAAATTTATCTGAAACCTAAACGTAATAAGTTAGGGGCTTTAATACGATAACTGTGTAGCAACCTGACTGGCTTTCTTACTGTGATTCCCTGACGTTCTTACCATTACCGTACTTTTCCATACTTCTTACGTCATTTTTTCAAGATTACTTCTACCCCTTAGACCTCTAAAAGCTTCAAAAAACCATCTATAAATGGCTTCACCCTTCCAAAAGCTACTCTCCCAGTTTAGCAATTCCCGTCCAGCTTGCCACATTCGTCATTGTTCTCGTCTGCGAGGTTGGCTGAGAACCTTCGATGACGGCAGCATTCCAAATATCATCCAAGTTAGCTCACTCTCGCTAAATGGCTACGATTGGCCTTGGCGGTCTGATGAAAGCTTGGCGGTCGCTTATAGACGCATAATTTGGCCATGTGCTTTTCAGGGAGGCCATTCAGATGAAGGGCATCCCTTTGAATTTGTGTGTGAGGAGAGAGCATTCCAAAAGAGGAGCGCGAACCGTTTTAGGCTCCGAGGGGGCCCACCTCAGCTTTCAGGAGGGTCGTATTTCCAAAGATTTTTCATCTCTCGGCCCCTGATGACGTAATAGACCAGTTGACTAGATTAAAGTTTCCAGGTATCCCATGGCCATAAATCGTCGGAATATTTGTGAGATGACTTCCTGAGCCTCAAATCTGCTAGTTTATGGTTTTGGGGATGATTTAGAGGTATGACGGGTAGCTCTTTCTTTTACCCTAGTTAACCCTAAGGTTGTCGAGGCAAGAAAAATTAGTCCCTTAACCTCTGGGGAATGACTACTCCTCGTCTTGAACCCAAACAATTTTGGCTCGGCTCCTCAATTTGGAGGACTCAAGCATTGTTGTTTTGCAAAATTTTGCTTGTTTGTGTTTTTCCTTCGTATAAAAAGCTGTAAAACGAAAGCAGAAATTCTAATAAAGTAAAAATTACTCACATCTCGGCGAAACACTAATTACTCAAATACCATTTGTTCTCATTTAACACTAGCGATAGCCCCCGCTTTCCAGGTGCAATTCTCCACCTGATCCAAGGCGACAATGTTCTTGGTAATTCTGCGAAACTCCTCATCATCGCTGATAAACTTGAAGCCCTGACATGATTTATGTTAACAAACAATTCCTTGATATCGTATGGCTGGTTCGGCGATGTATGCCCCGTCACCCCAATCCCCAATCTTCCAAAGACCTAGAAGTCTTCATTTTGTTTCGAAATCCCGCAAACAAATTTCAATATCCTTCGAAGCCCGAATGCCGTCATTTTTCTGGCCTCCCGGTAACCATAATCCGGATAGACGTTGGGAGCTTAATTCCGGAGGTCCCTCTATAGTTCTTTACAGAAAACGAGCAAGTACATGCCGGTGAACCGGCCTACAAAATGGGATCTGGGGTTGACCTTTTCTCGGCGCAGCTTTTGTAACTAACTACGTTTCTATACTATGCACGTTCGCAATTGTATTTGCGGGGACCGGAAAAATTAATTCGGGTTGCCCACTCATGCTCTTTTATCGTGGCTGTCTTTTCTTGGCTTGGCATTTTCGCCGCTGTGAACCTCGAAGGGGGGGAAATTCAATCTGGGTTCCTGACGCGAGGCACCGGTTCCGCTACAACCCGAAAAAGCGGGTTAATGCTATTCGTGTTTCCGGCGGTGTTGTACTAACAAATTCGTTCGATGGAGTGAGTGTAAGTCGTCGTTGGGGGTAAAGACGTGCGAATTTGTGGGTGCGGGCCGGGTGATTTGGTTAGGTTAATGGCGTGGGTGTGTTGAGGTAAGGGGTAACAGGATTTACAGATAAAATCTGGGCCAAGTCATATAAATGTGGGTTCCGCCACACAGAACCGCCTATTTCGTTCTCGGGTTAATTAATATCTTCCTTTTGCCACAAACCAGTGCATTGAGTTTTTTTTTTGTACGGGAGCCTGTTTTCTATCATGAAACGCGGGAATTTGCTTTGAAATTTCCGGGTTGGGGTTTCTGCAAGAATTTAGCATTTGATTCTCAAACAGGATGCTATTTTCCAATCGGCTCATACCCTGTTTTTCCGGTCTCCTATAAAATCCAATGCCATTTTTTGCGATTTTGCATTGCAAACTTTTTAAGTGCGTACATCGTCCTCACTTTTCGATAATGCCGTCCAGTTCTGTGGTCAAATAACACCACTAATCCCTTCCAAGGACCTTTACATCAAATTTCCGTTTCAAAGACCATCCTGCATAATTAAATTCCTCATCCGGATTCTTCCACAGTGCCACAATTTCTTTGACCTGTCCCATCTATCGGGATGCAGCCTGCTTTTATGGGCTCTTGCTCCCTAAATGCCGACGCACTCATCCGACCCAGTCTCAGCTGTAGGCAATGCAGGATAAAAGCAGTTAATTTGTTTATGAGAGCGGGGCTGACCCGATGAGCGTCCCTTTCTTCATAATGTAGCTCTGTTCCATGGCATTTCGGTGTGCGGATCGACCAGCGACCGAAATAGATGTTTAGTGGTGGTCTCGACAAATCCCTCATATTTCTTTTTTGGTCGTGTCGATTTCTGTGGGCAATATTTGAGCCGTGGGGTGGGAAAGCAGAAAGGTCAACTCCAGTAGTCACGCCGCTCGATATAATTTATTCAGGCAAAGAAACATGGTAGCACGAAAGTGGATTTTGCGGCTGGCTGGCGGGTGCGACTTCCTGAATTTAGGGAAAGGTCAGGATTTGTACTGTAGCCACGAATTCTCTCGTGCAATTCGTTTAGTTTCTTTTTTTACTTATTTTTTATATCGTGATCCAAAGATCGGGGAAAACTGTAGTGCAGAAAATGGAGGAACAACTTTGCCGTTTCATTGCTTTCCCGGCGGAACAAATCCAGTTTGTCATCGCACCGAGGGTTTTTCTATGCCGTCTC